GAGGTTAGTGTGTGTACACAGATTAAGCTATGGACTGGTATCTTGTATTCTTTAGATAGAAATGAAGTTATGACTACAGGTTCTTGCATGCAGCCTTCAAGATTTCCTTCTCACTTGTATCTGAAGAAAGAGTTGGTTGTGTTTGTTTTCTTAGGAATTGATGTGCAGGGAGCAATTTTAGCAGCATTTGCTCTAAGAGGCCTTAATCGTTTTACTGCTGCCAATAGCAAGAGAAATTTGCACGTGAGACATGTGCAGGGCTAATGCATTTGAGTTTGTCTGGCTTTTGTCAGCAGTTTTTACTTATGCTAGTTTCCTGCTGAAGGCTGGCTGATGAACCTGAGGGTTTAACATGAGGCAGTTGGTCTCTTTTTATCTTGGAACGTGGATGTTATTAATTAATTGTTTTTATGAACTTTTTTGTCTCCCCTTCAGTATTAAGAGAAGTGTGATGAAATACTATCACAGCAAGCATCACTTGTGACACACACTGGTAACTTCAAAAATGTTAAAAATGTGTACTCTGTCACTGTAATTTTGTACTGATGCTTTGGATCATTGGAGGACTTTCAGATACTTTAATTGACTTCTAGATTTGGCAGGTCTATTGACTTTTTGTAGACAGTGTGTCATGTTGTTTTGGAATAGTACTAAACCCACCATTTTTCTTCACTTTACAGCTGAGTGAAATAAGTGGAATACCCTTAGAAAACATAGAATTTGCAAAGGTAAGTAAGATTCTGTGTATTTTTACTTTCTAATGGCACAGACGTGTGATTGTGAGTTTTATTGTATTCACTGAGTAATTGTTTTTTCTCAGGGTAGAGGAACCTTTCCATGTGACATTTCCATACTAGAGATTCACCAAGACTTGGACTGGAATCCTAAAGTATCTACATTGAATGTCTGGCCTCTGTACATTTGTGATGATGGTGCAGTAATATTTTATAGGTATGCATTGCATTACATTATAATAAACGGTGCAAAGAAAGCTGTGTAAGATCTGAGGGATGATGTAATCGACAGGAACATAAAATACTCTTCTGTCACCATAAAGAAAAGAGGGTTTAAAACAGTCAGCTGAAATATTTGTGCTCCTCAGCTTCCTAAAAACCTATTAATTAAGTTTAAGAAAACAAGCACTGCACCCTTTTACTCAATCCTCCTTCCCAAACCACTGAAAATATTTTGCTGAATGCAAAACTAGTTGCTGTGCTTGTGTGTGTGGATTTAATATCTTAAAATATCCCTTGTGGAGTTTGTGAATGTCTTGCTGTATGTTTTGGACAGCAAGGATTTTATTTTCTGAGTTTGTTCCTTTGAGAAATTAGTATGGCTTATTTGGAAAAAAAACTGTTAGGATAAAAATTTTATTAAGCTGAAAAACATTGATCAACTGGGGGCAGTAGCCCAGAGGCAGGATTTGAGGACTGTAAGCTTGAATATTGTCATTCTTCTAAACTTGGTAGGTGGGGCAACCTCACTGCTTCTGTGGTATTTTTCGTAATTGCATGTGAGTTGGGGGGGAAACAGCTGGTTGATAACGTGCTGGTCTGGATGAAAATTATTTGGGAGAACATCTGCTGACACGCTGCTTCCAGCTGTTGGCACTGAGACCAAATATAGAGCAGAGCCATAGCTGTCAATAAAGAATAGGAGTTAGGGAGATGGAGGAGTATGGGCTTGTTTCTTCCCCTGGGTGAATGTATCTGCTGGAAAAGCAGGTTTAGACAGATTGTTCGTTTCTGCAGAGGAGGGAAAGAATCCCTAAGAATTGTTGTGCTTAGTTGCGGTTTTAATAAGTTACTCCAAGTGAAAAAAAAAAAGGCAGAAATCTAACTATGGTTACTGTATTGATCTGAATTTTAACATGTTTACGTTTTAGGGATAAAACTGAAGAATTAATGGAATTAACAGATGAGCAAAGAAATGAACTGATGAAAAAAGAAAGCAGCAGACTCCAGAAAACTGGACACCGGGTAACCTACTCTCCCCGTAAAGAAAAAGCACTAAAAATTTATCTGGATGGAGCACCAAATAAAGATTTGACTCAAGACTGATACTTGCTATAGCATTTTCCCTGGGGAATTTTTTTTGTTTCCAATAAAAAGGTTCACTACTACTGTGTAGTGCCATTACGGCAGGACATTCATTAGGTGTAAAGCGCTGACACCAGCACCGGGCGGGCGGTGACCCGCCGGCAGCGCAGGGCCCCGCCGGGTCACTGCTTGACTTGGAATCATGTTGTGCACTATAGTCAAATGTACTGTAAAGCTAAAAGGGATGTGCAAATAAAAGATTAGAACTAAAAAAAAAAAAAAAAGTGGGCGGGGAGGGAATCGAGTGGAAATTTTTTGAGGACAGTGTGCACATAGTAGCTAGTGAAACTAGCCTCAAACAGGATACTCATAGCTTAATAATAAAAGCTGTGCAAAGGCCATGAAAGAATCCTTTTCTCTGTTTGTTTCACTGATACACGCATTACCTCATCAGAGAGTCAGAAGTAAACGTTAACACATTGGTTCTAGAAGAGCGGCAGAAAAGGGCCGGAGGTGGAAGTGCTGCAAGTGCAAGGTTTTATAATATTCTTCCATAAAACAAGTGGTCTGAGAGGTGTCTGCAGAAAGCTGCCAGCAGGCGCTGTTTGTTTGCAGAAGTGCTGTTGTAAGGTAAACTGGGGTTTTTTAATAGGTTACAGAAGCCGATGAGCAGCTCTAGTGTATTGCGTTCGATGTGTAAATAAAATTTGCCCTATCCATTCACCAGAACTGCAGTTCAGCTATTTACCATGCTATTTCTTTTCACATATCAACATTCATTGTGTACATTTGGAAGTATAGTTGCCTATTTAAATTTGTATTCATTTTATGTTTGATGATGCTGGGTACTTTAGGGTTGTACTTCCCCTTGTTAATTAAGGTTTTGTTTTGTTCCGCTACTTTTTGTACATTTTGTTTTTAAGACTATGACAAGTTTGCATCTTCTCCACCCGCTGAAAGTCAGTTTATTATTCCCAGAGTTGATTCCATAGCTATATGTAGTCAAATATTGGGGCAACCTCTAACACCTCAACGTACAAACTTAGTAGTTCAGGCTGTGGTGCAAAGACTGATGCAGTCAACATGATTTCATTGCAAAGCCTAGGAACAGCAATTTTTTGCTTTGGTCCATAAAGATCAATAGAGAACAATTCTCCATAGTTTTTGGGAAAAACCACCTAATTTATAACAATCAAAAGATTTTGGTAAACTTTTTCATGCCAGATGCTGTTTACAACAATGAACATGCCAATAAAACATTTGTTCATTCTGTTGTGTTATTTTAATCATTAAATGCTGTGTTTTTTATTTAAAAAAATATGGAATTATTTCATGGAAATAGTTTCCCAAGGCAGTGCTGGAATTGTAAGGCTGTGTGTTTGTGTGTATGTGCACACCCCCCCCCCATGTACAGAGTGTTACAGGAAGTGGTTTATAGCTTGTTTGCTTCTCTTGTTTAAGTTCCCACCCATTTTTTCTTCCACTGTGAGTTTCCTTTTCCAGAATTGAATTTTTCACGAGTGAAATTTTCAAGTTCCAGATATGATTGGCAGCTAATTTCTGCTCCGGAGGGGAAAGGCAGTGTTCAACAACTGAACCTTCAGGTCTTCCTTGCGTGCTGGCCCACAGCAACCTAAAAATCCTGAGGAATCTGGCAGCTTGAGAACCAGGCACTGCACAGATGAACTCCCTCATTCTTCCTCTTCTGTTTGTCCTGTGCTGCCCAACATAAGTGAGGTGGAAGAGGGGGCAAAGGGAGCAGAGAGGGAGTACCATCCTCTAGGAGGGGTTTGTCAATAAACTGTCCTTTACCATTTATATAGACTGCTGAAGGAACCTTGGAGCTTTTGAAGAGAGGAAATAAATTACCTATCAAATGGATCATGAACTTTCCTCAAAGACATTTGGAGAGGCAAAAATCTAGAGATGAGATGTGAGGATTGCAGCACCAAGAATTTGTATTTACAGACAATGACTGCTCTCTAGTGTTTTTTTTTAAACAGATTTAATTCCTTCTCTTTGTATAGATGGGCTGTCTCTAAAGGAGAGGTGAATTCAGTGAAGTCTCAGAGCAGGTGCCTGGGTGTATGTGTTGGTGTGAGAATTGGTTGTAAAATCCTTAAACTGAAAGTCAGACTGTTCTGATGAAATATCCTCATGTTGATTATGATTGTTAACATTAATTCCAGTACCCAAGGAATTTATTGAGAAGTTTTCACAGAGCAGACATGGTGAAAGATGTGCAGGCTGGTAGCACAGTCTTACAGCTGCTCCTGTTGGTGCTCTACTGTTCCAAATAAAGAGATAAGCAGTACGGATTATTTGGGAAGAAGCGCCATGAAAAGTTACTTGGCTGGAACTTCATGTCATGTTTTCTCATGTGGAATAACAGATGGTGAAATCTGTACCCCAGAAAACCATTAATAGGGGAAGAGCCATTGAAGCAAACTGATGAGACAGCTGAGGAGTTTGGTGGATTGGATTTTACTCTTGGCTTGCCATCGATTTCTTAAATCAATGACCTCTTAAAGATGGTCACAATAACCACATCTTGTAACACGCAGAGATTTATGCCTATGAAGTGTATTAAAAGCATCAACCATTCCCCAGAGGTTGTTCTCTGGGTGTAAGTCTCTAAGTGCAAGAAGCTATTTCAGTTGTCTTACTGCTAAACTGAAGTCAGGAATTGATGTTCACTGCCCCTGCATCTCACAAAGGGCAGGTGATGATGGAATGTAGCCAACAGGTCCTTGAACAACATTCCCCCAAGAAGGAATGTTCATGTGGTGCAGAGTGCTCCGTGGCACTGTGACACCCACAATCTGGATGTTGCAGCTTCACTGACCATGTTTTCTAAAGGAAAAAAAATTAAGAATTCCCTAAAATTAATGACTACAACAGTTTGAAGTAGATGGTTCATACTCAAAAGTCACTTCTGAAGTTGCTAATAACTTAAAATTATTTACGCTCATGTGTATTTTTTAATGAGTATAAGTACTAATAAGTTTATTTCTGATGTACACGGGGGAAAAAACTAATCCAGAAGAAACACTTCTCATTTGACGGGTTTGGTCCAAGGACTGAATGAATTCAACAGTAATTGTAACATGCAGGTTTGGTGCACAGAGAAGTATTTTCATTGAAGACCTTGTTTATTGCACTTCTATCCAGCAGTGTGTGTTTAGGGTTTATATAAGCAAGACACTAGACAAAAAATTGCTAGAAATGACTAACTAAACTGCCTGGTGCTTGGACTTTAAATTTCATCTCCCAAAACCAGGTCCTGAGCTGAGTCAGGCTCAGGCTTCAAACCTGCTTGCTCCTCCAGACTTTCTAATTCTCTACGCACTTCCTGGATGACACTGCTTTCTTCATAATCAGAAAGAATATCTCTGGGGATTAAGCTGAGAAATGGCATCTCATCCATGATTAAGGGATCTTCTTTTTCATTATTCCGGGTTTCATTGGCAGACGGTTCACACACAGATGTAGGGCTGTGGCTGTTGGAAAAAGAGAGACATATCTGGTCATACAGAACAGCATTTTGTGTTCTGCTGGTTTCTTTATACAGTTCCCTCCCCACATGAAAACATGTTAAATGCATAAAAGATCTACCCTAGCTGATTTCATAAAGATCTGGGTTTTTTACATGCTTGACAGTTGGAGAGTTTCCACCTTCAGAGCTAGAACAGAACCTAACAACACAAAAATGTTTGATCCTGGGACACAAGGTGGCAGTGGCCACAGCCTGGCCCTTCTGCAGGCACTGAGGGTGACTAGACCTTGCTGTTCATGTCATAACACCAAATTAAGAAACACAGTCATCCAGCTTAGGAGGAAAACTCTGAGCTTTATGCATTTGGTTCCTCACAGTGCAGTGGAATCACTACAATTGCCACTCTCTCTGTTTCGTGAAGCCACCTTGAAAAGTGGCTTCAGTTGCCTGCAAACAAACATCCCACATTTTTTGCAGCAACCATGAAAGGGAAAGGAATGATTTATAGTTGTAGTCAGGAGGCATGGGAACAGAATTTGATCATAATTCCTCTGCTATTTCCCTGCAGTGCAGAGGATGCTACTGGGCTACAGGTCCATGTCAGGTGAGCACTACTTGTGCCAGGCACCCCTCAGCAACTGCTGAAAGCTGCACCCTCTTCCACTGGAAACAGCATAAATGAGCTAAAGATGTTCCTGAAACTTATTTTCTGTATATTTTGAATTCTTTTGCTCTCTAGGAGTTCTAAGACTTCCATTTGTGCACAGACTACCCCTGTGTTCTCTTTGGTATAATCTAATAGTTTCAGTGTTTATCAGTTGCATGTAATATTTAGCCAAGGGCCATTTCAAGCAGAGGTGGACTATTTCTTTTATTTAAAAAAAGTTATCAGAATCTTAAAGTTCAGATAAAAAGTTCTTTTGACTATAGCTGGACAGTTCAGTTATATTCACACCCTAAGTAATTTCTGTGTTTATATATCCTCATCTGAAATGTCTTCCTTCTAACTAGACACGACATTTGCTGACAGATCTTCCCTGAGGTTAATGGCCCATTAACTAAAATTTTGGTGCAGAAAGGATGGGATCAACTCTGCTTGTTTCCTTAGATGACATTTACGAAACAAAATGTTACCCAATTCCTTTTCATGCATGAAAAAATGTAGAAAGAGTTGGACACAGAGGAGAGAAGTATTAATATACATCTCTATCCCAGCTATGCCATCTTGTTGGAAGTTTATATGATGCTGGTAGGACAGGAGCAAACTTGGAGAATTTCACAGAAAACATGTAAGTTTTGTAAAAATGCTTTTAGTGCAAAACTGAAATGATCTCACTTCCCCCAGTGAAACTGCTGATTATGCAATAACTGTCCTTTTAGAGAATGATTAAAGGCATTATCTATGCAAAGTTTTAACTTCAAGCAGAAAACATCCTGCTTCCTATTTGGTGAAACTCAGTGGTAGTGAAGAAGTCTGCACAGTTTGAAGGGTTTCAAGTCTGAGAGCAGATCATAAGCTGGTGGTGGAGAAACTGGCACCCTGGGTTAGTTTGAAACTGGGGAAATGTGCAAACAAAGATAGATTAATTTTTTTTCTTCAATACATGTGCCCATCTGTAAAGCTGATCAGTAGTGCAGGAAATACTGCATGTATTCAAAATATCTTTCATGTGTCTTACATATGAAAGCAAGCAAAACATCTAACAGAAGCCCAGCCTAAGACAGAAAGATGGTGGACAAAGAACTGTACGCAGAGGATTAAATTGAAATTATACATCTCAACAGCTGTTAGTACTGACTGATTAAAAAGCAGTAACAGCCTGATTAACTCACAGACTTAATTCACATGGGATTAATGTGTTGCCAAACTCAATTAGGCACATCTGTGTGGGACAAAGCAGAAAGTTTCAATGCTACTGATGAGAAAAGTTGTCAAAACATTTTCTAGTGAGGCAGACTCTTCAAGTTCTTTAGCTATTTACCACAGAAACAGACCCCTCCAAATTTTTAATCGGGTTGTCTGCCCAGTTTTGATCTTTACCTCTGAGGCTGGCAGATCAAGCCACTTGCACATGGGCACTGCTCGAGCACTCCATCGGGTTCCAGGTCCCAGGTGATGAGGTTGAGAAGTCTGTTGGAGGGATCATGGCAGGGTTCACCTTCCTCAGGTAAGGGCGTGCACACAGGGAACAGCAGCTCTGTGTGCCAAAGGAAAGTCATTTTGTGAGAAGTCCGTGGCTGTCTGCTAACCTGAGATGGCCTCATTTCTGAAGTGTGTATGCATGATATAAAAAAACAGATCTGACCTCTTTTTAAGTCCCCTTACAAATAAAGGAGCCATAACTTAATGTTTTTTTCCACTAGGTGGGAGTAAGACATTTGAAGTTTATGCTTAATGAGCAAGATCAACTCCTGCTCTTCCCAAAGAGAGTGAGTGTCAAGACAGCAGTACTGCACAACTCCATCCCTTGGAGATTCAAAAGGTTATTATAAACCCAAGAAAAAATAACAGTGAATCCTTTGCAATGGTTTAAAATCTGAATAGAGAAATACCTCTGTATTTTAGAACTCTGTTAGTTTTCCTATTTCTTTGCAGAGGTTACAAATATACAGAGCAACTGCTCAGAGACTAATTAATGAGGTTACAGGAACTACAACTCAGATGTTTAATTTATTACAGTAATACTGCTACACATAAAGCTGTCTGATGGCATTTGGGGCTTGGCACCCTTGTTTCTGCATAGGGATGAATTTCAACTTGTGTAAGAAATTATTTTAGAAGGCTACATCCTTTGGGTTTCCTGTTGCTTGTAACTTATAGTGTCAGTCTGGAATTCAGACTTCCAGATGTTCCTATCCAACCTCCCTTCCTCCTCTTGTCTTCATTCTCCTCATACGGCAGAATAAAATATGAGAGGAATTCAAAATTTAAGTTTTTAAAACAGACTTGGTCAAAATACATATGTATGTGTGTGTATACACATATATGCTTCAATGTACGTGACCTATCAGTTCCCAATTTCAAAACAGATTACATATTAAGAAGTGAATACTTCATAGTTTACTACAGTTTTATATAAAAAAATATTAGGAAAATCTTTTGCAATACTCTGGTGATGAAGAAAGGCCTTGAAGTAGGCAGGCCTAATCTGAAAAACCCTGCTAAAGCACACAACTATAGAGAATAAAAACTCATTGCTATTAATCAATAGCTCTTTTTTAAGTTATAATAAGTGTATTCTATCCATTTTCATCAATATTCTTATCTATTGATTTATATATGCATATATATGTATAATATTTTTTTCTCTATAACTGTATATCTGTTGTTCCTTCCTGAGTTACAGGTTTGTACTAAATTTCTAGTCAAGACCTAAGGAGCAGCCTGGTGCTACCAACACCAATGGGATGCATACTACTAATTTACTCATCTCTGCAGCATAAGCAGATTCAGAGTCCTGCATGGTGAAAGTAATAGGCATGTATTAAAAATGCTCTTCCTATCTTATTTCAGAATCAGAGTACAAATAAATCTCTGACAGAGCTTGGCAAAACCTGTAAATGCTTTAGGCAGAACCTGATGAAGGGAGAAAAAACTGCTCCAACCAAAACTTGTTGAAACCAAACTTGTTGAAACCAAATCGAAGGTCCACTATGTAATAGTCAAAATCAACATGGGAAAACTGAGCCTCTGCTTGGTTTTCCTGAAGTGCCCTGGCAGCCTGATCCACCAGCAAGCTGACAGCAGGACAGGCACCCCAACCATCCGTGAAGGTACAAGGTCACGTCTTGCTCATAGCAAGAACCAGGAAGAAAGCCAGAGAAGTATCTACCTGGAGTAGGGAGATGTTGGAACTGTGTCCTGTCACTACAAAATTAAGGTGAATTATGAAAAAGGCAGTGAGAAACTAGTGGGTATAAAACAGTAGAAGAAACTGGACCCTAACCAGACAGGATTTGGGATTAATTTCAGGCCTGAGACCTTCTCCTCCTGTCCTCCCTTCCGTAAATCAAGTTTCACATTCCCATGTGGAGCGACAACATAATCTGGGACATCATTCCTCTGTGTATCTTGGCTGTCTGGTCAGTATTGCACAGTGTGGTGCCCTGGAAGGCACACATAAAACTCAGAGTATGAAATGTATGTGCAGTCTGATTCTGATAGCCTGCTTGCTGATAGGAAGGAGAAGCCACTTTCAGTAATCTCATCATTTCTTCTGTATATTTTTAACTCTCTTATTTTTGCTCTATTGGGTGAAAATTTGACAACAGAGTTCTGCTACTTTTAAATGTGTAAGATTCCCCTTTAGAAACATAAATTTTTGTGCTTCTCATGCTTGTCTCATCTCTAGTGTGCAACAGGCTTGTCTTTCACCGTTGTGCACCCCTATCAGGCTGTTTCTCACTCCTAATTCTATCAAAGTTTTATAATGAAGTTATAGGTGAAGTTATATAAAGGGAGAATGACCCATCAATTCTGTAGAGATTCAGCGACTTCCCCTGGGCAAAAGAGGGGATATATTATATATTATACAGTATGATGCAATGAATAGGATAAGCCCCTCTGTACCTTTCTGAAAAGCACAGCACATTCCAGGGTTGCAATCGTGTTGGTTCTCACAAATGGTGCCGTTCTCTCCTTTTGAAGTGGATTTCCTGCACTCGCCCCAAACGCAGAGCTGGTCTCCGCAGCATTCAACGTCCCGGGAGCAGGGCTTGCAAATGGGAAAGGCACGTGAGAAAACTGCCACTTTAGCACTAATTGCTTATATCACAGACAGCTAAACATAGAATTAACCCTGGTCCTGAAGGCAGCTCCATGTATGTGCTTGTAATATATGTGTCTCGTGTTCCCACTGTTTAAATAGAAGTGCTTGGGGTTCTCAGTTTAAGCGTACGTAGAACTTTTTGCCAGACAGGAACCTCCACACTGCAGTAACAGCACCCCTTCTACACTAATATACTTCCAATACTATAAGACATGAATTCTTACTTTAGCATTCACATGAACACTGATCAGCAGCCAGACATCCCACGGTGTGGGTTGGACAGGGCCTTAAAGGTCATCCAGTTCCAAACCCCACATCGTGGGCAGGGACACCTTTCCTTAGACCAGGTTGCTCAGAGCTCCATCCAACCTGGCCTTGAACACTCCCAGGGATGGGGCAGCCACAACTTCTCTGGGCAACCTATTCCAGTGCCTCACCATCCTCACAGTGAAGAATTTCTTCCTAATATCTAATCTAAACCTGCCTTCTGTCAGTGGGAAGACATTCCCCCTTGTTCTCTCACTACATGCCCTTGTAGAAAGTCCCTCTCCAGCTCTCCTGTAGTCTCTTTAGGTACTGGAAGACTGCTCTAAGTTCTCCCTGAGCCTTCCCTTCTGCAGTCAAGGGAAATAAAAATTAAGAAATGAAATATTATCGATGGAAAACACTACTGATTTTTTTTTCCCTTTGTTAAATACAGTCAGGAATCTACAATTTGTTCAGAAGGATTGTTTTCAAAGAGCACAGCAAAAAAATCTTACTAAAATCCATTTGCAGTTGTAATAAGAACCAGATCTCATTGGTAACCAAGAATCTTTAAAAAAAAATGTCTGAAAAAAAATCTCTTTGAAAAGCAGAAATGCAAACCTCCAGCTAAAGATAGCTTTGTGTGACAACTGCCCCAGTGTTTCAACCACACACACCTAATAAATCAACCTAATAAAAAGGGTGGGTCACATTGTTCCTTTCTTTAGGTAGTTTGATTAACATCTTAGAGATTCCTAACAGGTCAGTGCTTTAACAGCTTTTTCCTGTCTATGTTAAGCCCTGTCTGGGCAGCCATACAAAATCTGAATTTCTTTTCCAGTGAATGCCACAGGAAGTGCTTAACACAGGGCAAGGAGTAGGAGTGCACCGGTACTATTGAGACCTGCTAATTAGGGAGAAAAATGCTTTGTAATTGTAGGGGTTCAAGGTCAGGGAATTGATCCCACCTCCTTCAGTCTGAGCTCACTTTACAACAGAAGTGCAGCTAACACCCCATTACTTTCTTTATCCTACAAGTGTTCTGCTGAGGACTGAAAAGAAAAGGTGGGATCATAGGGGAACGTAGGTGAGGGGCATCCCGATCTTGATTTTGAATTATTCTATATTAACATGAAAAAATATCAGTTTAACATTTTCTAAAATACAAAGAATAAGCTTTCTCAATGACACACACAGGACATTTTCAGGACTTTAAGCAAGCATTCAGTACAATGAAGTCAATAAAGCTCCCTGAAGTTATCAAGATAACTATTTAAATCATTTCAGGAACAGCCTGGTGCTTTTAGGTTACAACAATCCTATTGACTTTACATGAATTTACAGCAACATTTAGTTGCCTGTACACTGGACTGCCTGCAAATGCTTTGAGGATTGAATTTGTTTTTGCAAGAGCCCATCAGCAGAACTTAGCTGAAAAGGGACAGTCAAATAAAAGGGCTTTTTTGACAGGCTTCTTCTAAACTGGATTTTGACCACAGAAAAAGCCTGAACTTCTCAGGCATCTGTCCCTTACAGAAGATAATCTAACCATAGCTACTATTAAGAACATTGATCTTCTAGCTCAAAAGACAGGAATTGACTGCTTCCTGAGGTTCACAGATTCAAATAAGGGAAGAGGATCCTGTACAGTCCCCACTGCACTACAGCATTGTACAGTTTGCCAGTGAAGGGAAGAGGGCAGGCTGCTGCAATTCCCTTTGGGAATGAATCCAGAGCTGGAAACGACCAAGTCTCAGCTGAGCCTTAGGAGCTGCCACAGTATTTCCTCTTTGCCCATTCCACTGGCAACCTACAATGTGTTAGCTTACACTGTCCTTAGGCCACCCAACAAGGCAAGCTTGAATCAGGAGGAGCTCAGGGCAGATTTTGGGAGCATATGAGAACAAAACCTTGAAATTTATTTTTGTTAACAGGAAGAAAAACCCCACACAACCCAAAAAGCTCTACACACCCATTTTTTTACCCTCATGCAGAAAGCTTTGCCACTTCTTTTCTACCAATTTTGGCTTGTTGACATTAGCAACAATAACACTGAGTTTCTACAGATCACATAAAATCACGTCTCATTCAAGACTTACTGTATGCTGTGTTTTGCAGAGCTGACATTTGTATTCAAAGGTGGAGAACTGGCAATATTTCCCTGTTTCACAGTCTTCATCGATGATACACTCCTGAAGAAAAGGATAAAAGTGTAATTTGCCACTGTGTGACTGAAATCTGTATCTCTTCTTGAAATACCAGAAGCTCTTGATTGATTGTATTTGTTACTTGAGAACCAAGAAAAAAAGCTTCAATTCTTCATACAGCCACAGCTCTGTAACAGATCAACATTATCACCCTGGCTTATCTAAATACTCTGGCCTCAAACTGTTAGGTGGCTTCACTTCTTGTATACACATTAATACCAGCAACCTCAAGCGAAGAAATTATCTAGTTCTGCAGGCTTTTTGTGCTTTTGTTGTGTGGGGCTTTTTATTTTTTTGTTTGGGGGGCATTGAAGTCATTTGTATTAAATCTGTTGTATTTGAGTACAGTTGTGATTTATTACTTGTTCACTGTTTTTTCAGATGGGGGACAAGACTGAAGGGAAGAGGCTACACTACTGCAGCCACAGCAGCCAGGAGTATCTTTATGCTCTGTGGGAGACCCTTCTGCATCAGCTTTCTTGATCTCAGGCCAGGTAGCTTTAAGCTGTCCTCCCTCCTCTTCCCCAGCAATATCAGTGCCGGCATCAGAAACTCCCCAGCATGCCTGGCTTCACTAAACCAGCAAGGACCTCCCTAAGGGAGAAGGGGAATGTGTTTCCTTTTCCCTTTAACTGTTCCTCTGCTCCCCTTTCAAGGGGCACACAAATTCTTCTCAGGCAATCTTTGCAGTGCCTGAGTATTTTTGTCAGCAGTTATTTCTATGCTGAAAAATGCAGTTTTCCTTCTGCAGGACTGGTAACGTTCAGCATCCCTGGGGCTTTGTGGTAGCAGCAGCACTACTGCACAGCCAGTCCTTCTGGGAAGCATGGATGTAACACACCATTGGATTTCCTTTTCTTGGCTGGTGGCATGTTTCTCATGTACCTGTCACCATAACCCATCACCTGCAACCTCACCGCTGCAAATGTCTAAATGCCTACACATGTAAATTTTAAATCCTTCCTTTAATTTGATTCAAATATGGCAAAATATGCAGGAGCAGATTCTCAGCTGGCATCTCCCTGCTCTCAGCGGAGGTAATTTACATTTAGTAATGTAAGATTGACAAGCACTAAAGAGCCCCAAACATCCCAGGGAAAAACAGCCCCACATTCCCTAGTGCATCAGCCTTTGCTACACAGCCTGGACTTCAGGACAGGCCTCAAGCCAGCACGCCTGGCTTTTCAAACCTGGGATCATTTCATGGCCTGAACAAAAGTGTTCATGGGAGAGGGACACCTGAGTCTGAACCTGAATCGCAAACTCAGGCTGAAGTTTCCTCACCCGGAGGTCCTACAAGCATTGTGGAAGAGACAGCTCCCCTTTCATTCCTGCTGCATGGAATGAATGTACAACCTGGTCATGAATTCTTCCCAGAACACAGCTCTGCAGGAATGGCAGTGAGGAAATAAAGAGAGTAAGTGTACATGTCTGTGTACCCCTCGTGTCTGGTTCAGAGGGAGGGCCTGTTTTCCCATCTAAAGGTTACCTCCTCAAAATTGTGTGATTAACCCTGTTCTCTAAAATGTTTTCTTGTTTTTTCAGACTGGAAACAATCTACTCAATAGAAACATAAATAATAGCACCGTTCTGAGTCACCTGTACTCCATCATTGATTGGTACCACCCATCATAAGGTTGATGTTATCTTTTTGCTATTAGTCAAAGGAAAGGATAGGAAGGGAAAAAGAAAAAGGGAAAAGAGAAAAAGGGAAAGGGAAGGAAATAACACAAAAATCCCTGAATTCTCTGAAGTAACCATTTGACTGCTCTTTGGCAGATATTAATCTCACTTGCTGGAGCAGATCAACTGTCATCTGTGTAACCTTTATGGAAAGCTTCCACTAAGCTTTTCATTTTCTTCAGATCTTTCCAGATTAAATCTTATGGAGGTTTCTTGCCCTGTGTGAGTCAAGGCTGCTCTGCACGAGTAGCAATGGCTTGTCTAAATTACCCATTTTGGTCACCTTAGATGTTTTCAAGCAGTTTGATTACCCAGAACATAGAACAGAAGCCAAATACAGCCTAGGGCCTGATTATTTTCAAGTCATCGACTGGATATTCAGGTTATGTTTATAATTCAGAAGAAGCCATTTTAGCTATTTTAAGAAATTAGTATCACCAGATCTATTCTGCTATAAATTATCATAATGTTTTCAACTTCATTATTCCAGTACTGTCTCTGTTCTGCTTTTTTTTTGCTTTTCCATTGCTACATAATCAGTTGGATCAAAATCCAAATACCCAAATATTATATAGTATGTTGGAGGTTTTGTGGTTCCAAGTGAGCAGTCAGCGACTTCTCCTCAGCAGCCACGCTCTTTTTGGCCACTTCTCTGTTTGTAGCTTTGTCAGCTTCTATTATGAATCCCTCTGTATAAACCACACTCAGAATAGACTATATACTGTTTCATTCCTGTTCCATCCACTTTCAGGCAAACAGCCAGGTCTCGCTGTAGTCAGTTTTTCCAACTGTCCCTCTCCACAAAGGAGAAATCTTGCCACGATTGTTTTTGAGCTCATGGAATAACTCTCTCCCAGCTCTAAAACCACCTAACACCAAAGCTGCAGTTCTCCAGTCACTGACTTCTCCTAGTTAATGAGTCCCACACCAAAAACCTTCTTTTTCCTCACTTACTGAATTGTATCCCACCAGTTCAGACTTCCAGTTTTATGAGGGTTTCCAGCTGGGGAAAAATCCCTTCATGGTTTTCTTTGCTGGCATGGAAAATCTTCCTTTCATATGCTGTCTGTGAAATTTTGTGCCACACTTCAAACTGACTTCCTTCACCCAAATATTATAATCCATAGTCAATACAGAACTCAGTAATTCTTACTTGCGGATGTGTAACCATGTATCTTTTCTTAATAATTTATTTTTATTTATTTAATCAGGCTACAGACCTTTTATAATCCACTGCTTGAGACACAACAGCTTCTGGACAAGGAGCAAATCTGAACATCTTCATCAGTTAAAACAGATCCTGAACAATATATTTTCCCTGGGATTCTGCAAACTAAGGTATTTCTCAGAATATTTTGTCATTGCAGGAACAACTGCATAAACAGAGGAGAGAGGGTGCTGGCTTCTGACGTGCAGCAGAGCATACAAGTAGAGCAGATAGCTCAGATAAAGACAGAATTAGCTACACTGATAATGGTGTACATGTCTCTGAAATCCATTTCAGTGTTATACCAGTTAATGTTGCAGCACAGGAATATGCCCTTTGAGAAGTGCTAAAGGATAATACAGAGTGAAAGCAGGATTGTTTATTTATTACTGGGTATACTAGGACCCATAAACAACAGAGGCCAGGACAGAGAATACCATGCTATGTACCTGTAAGGACACACACAGCATCCTCTGGACTCATAATACTGTACTCTGCAGTGAATATCCTGCAACACCTGGAAGCAATTTGGGGCTTAGGATCTGTTCCAGAACCAACAGGGGAAAAAAACCCACCCAACAAAAAACTGAAACTCACGGAAAAGGTTCCTTGTGTCTTATAACTGCTAAAACAACTGCTGCTGAAAGAAACTTCAGGTTTCTTGTCTCTGGCAGATTATGCCAAGCTATCATTTGCTTTCCTAAAGAGCGGTTAGTGCCCACATTTGAGAATAAAAGAGTGACTGATGTTAGTGATAGTCAAGTATGGCAGGACCACAGCTCCCAGGAAAAGGGAACAGATGGTGCAGGACTGTACAGGTCAGAACTGGTGTGACAGGTTTTGACACCAGTGCTTCCCTTTGGGCTTTATGTTCACATACACATGGAAAGGCACAGAAGGAAAAAGTTTTCTTTCAGTGTGATGTGTCCATCTTCACCCTCCAGCCCACAGCACGCCTTTGGCCTAATGGTACTACAGGCTATTTTGGCAGACTGTACTGACTGGTGGAGCATAGCCCACTGTGGTGTGGACCACATCATCCTCTGCCCTTAAAGCACATGAGGATAAAGAAGGAGAAGCAAAGAATTTCTCAGTTTGAGTTCTGAAAGCAGAACTACAGACAAAGTTAACCTACTTTCACACAGAAACCCACTTTCTTTGGCAGTGTTCATCTGGTTTCTGTACCTCACTATGGGAGTAGTTTTAATACTTGTTTTTGCTGGTATGTACTGAAATCATGCTCATTTTGCTTTGCTCTTTTTCCCCTTAATCCTTAATTAAAACCCTAAGAGTAGACTAGAAAATATTCCAGTCTGTTCTAGGACTGTCTGACTTTCAAAATGTAATAATTTATTTTAATTTCAAAACAGACATTTCATTTGTCTGTTCCCTCTCCCCACTCACACTCACCCTACCTCCACATTCTCAAAAAGTCCTCCTTCAAAGATAACTTTAAACAGAACTCTCTCTTCACTAGTCATATCTTCAGCTAATATTTGCCTGTCAGGGAGAGGCAAATGACTGTCTGGAACAAGGTTTCCTTTTGGGCTCTTTACACTTTAGCTTAGAACCCAAGAAAGCAGAGAAAGTCGCTGTTCATGACTTTATACACAAGTTTTCAGTGGTGATTAACCCATCTATCAAAGGCAGACACTGAAGATACAGGAGGAGGGGAGGGCACATGGAACAGAAAATGCCCCTGTGGGTGAGGGGCAGCTGTAGGGGAGAGACTGAGCAGCAGTTCTCTGCCAAGGTCACTGCTCTGACATGAGAACAGTAAGTGGGATTCAAGCAGAAGAACCCCTTTTCCCCTTGGAAATGCATGGAAGCACCTCTCACAGCCTACAAAAGCTTCTCTGAACAAAGAGCCCCCTTACATGTTTATTAAAAGCTCCTGACACAAAAACCTGTAACTCAAATAAAACTCCACAAACAGCAGCTATAGGTCCTTCCCAGAGGGGAACTCACCCAGCTGTACCAGGGAGACAAAAATTTCAGCCATATCTGAAGTTCTTTAGCAAAACCACTGTTCGTGTTGGAACTGACATTTCTTAGCAATTGGCACTTCTAAGACTTAACATTTACTTGTGTGTTT